CTGTTGCCTACTCCGTTCACTGCAGGGCCTGTAGCCCCGAGGGGGGTCCTCAGGACTAGCCCAATGGCTGTCGGTTGCACGCTGAACAGCTCTCCCATTTATGTCTGGTTATCCCCCTTTAAGGGATGAGAAAATTCAGGCTCAGAGAGGTTGAGGGGCTTCCCAAAGCCACACGGCAAGTGAGGCTCAAAGCCCAGACCCGAAGGTAGGTCTTTAACCCTCAGTTTCTGGGTACGGCTTTGTGCCAGCAGGGAAAAGGCCAACCTCCCACAGCCCGAAGGACCTTCAAAGGGTGTGCCAAAGGCCTTCACGTGCCCCCCAGCAGTGTAATGCCCACATTCAGTGGGACCCCAGACTGGTAGCCTTGCTTCTTTGTGCCTCAGTTTCCTGGTCTATAAAGACAGGGATGATCACCTCTGCATCCTAGATTGATGTAAAGATAAGTCATGAGCTGGAACAATGCCTGATCCGTGGACGCTGCTCACTGCCCGGTGACTGTTACCACCTCTGCTGTTTGGGGGCTCTTCTCTGTGCGCCGGGGTGGCTGGATCAGAGACATCGAGGCCACCGCGCATGGCCTGGAGCAGCCTCGGCGTGGGGGGGCGGGATCACTGTGTGGTGATGAGTGACCACGGTGCCTGCTGGGGCGCCAGCTGGGCACGCCCACGGGCCTGCCCAGGAGCCTCAGCTGGATGTTTCTGTTTCTACACTAACAGCCCCCGCCTCTGGGTGGTCCATGTGGGACCCTCCAACAGAACTTGGAGCCGGGGGCTCCAAGGAGCAGCAACCAGGGGCAGGGAGGGCCTCAGCTGCGGCACGCGTGTCCTCAGGGCTGGCCCTGTGACAGGCACACGTGCACAGCTCCTGAGACTGCTGCTGTGTTCAGGGCAAAAGCGGAGACCTTCAGGGGCCGCCCCGTGGCTCCCAAGCCCAGGTTTGACGCCCCTGACCAGATCCCCAGGCGCGGGGCCCACGTGGGTCATGTCACGTGGGTCACGCGGCCCGCTCAGGGCCACAAGCCTGCCTCCGATGACTCACTAACGCTGAACCGGCCCGGCAACAGGACTCAGAGAGGGAAAGGGGCTTTCCTGGGGACACAGCCAGCAGGGGGACCAGAGTTCGGGCCCCAGGCTGCCCAGCTTCCCCCTCTCCGCAACAGGCTGCAGCCTCCTCCTCGAGGGCAGGGGCCACAGTGGCTCACCTGGGCAGGGCAGACGGCCTCACAAAGCTTGCAGGCGATACAGCGCTCTTCTCCGGACGGGTAGCGGCGCAGTGCATGCTCCCCCCGGAAGCGTGGGCTCAGCGGGCCCTTCTCGAACGGGTAGTTAATGGTGGCCGGTTCCCGGAACAGGTAGCTCAGGGTCATGCCCAGGCCTGTGGGCAGCATGGGCGTGGTGGTGGGTGGGTGGGGGCCCCTCCTCCCCCAACAATCTGTGCCCACGCCCCGCCTGTGCGGCCCCTTCCCCCCAGGGCCCACCTCGGATGAGCTCAGTCCACAGCAGGGTCTGAGCCGCCCGGTCGGTCGCCGACTTCATGTCCATCGAGGTCTCCCGCATGTTCACGAACTCTGCAGGGGAGGTGAGCGGAGGGGCCGTCGTGATAGGGCTTCTCACAGCCGCACATGCCCAAGTCCCCCACGAACCCGACTCAAGGAGAAAAGGCCTGGTCACGGGGTGCCTGGGGGCGGGGGCTCAGCCGGTTAGGCATCTGACTTCGGCTCAGGTCATGGTCTTGCAGTTTGTGGGTTCGGACCCTGCGTCAGGCTCTGTGCTGACAGCTCGGAGCCTGGCGCCTGCTTCGGATTCTGTGTCTCCCCTCTCTCTCTGCCCACCCCCCCCACTCCGGCTCTGTTTTCCTCCCTCAAAAGTAAATAAACATTCAAAAAGAAATTAAAAAAAAAAAAAAAGGGCCTGGTCTTCCTTCCAGCTGGACCTCCCCCCAAGGGCCTGTTTGCTCACCGAAACTTCCCACCTCAGCAAGCTCGGACAGGCCTGCCTCTGGCCCTGGCCAATCCTTGCCCACCTTTCCCTGTGTCTGGGCAGCCATCTGAGCCCAGGAGTTGAAGGGGGCTGGAAGGGGCTTGGGTGGTGGGGTCCTGGTGAGGAGGATGCACACCCAAGGCTCACACCTGGCAGTCTCCTGCCCCAACACACCCCCTCCCACCTGTGCCACGCAGGGTAGCTCCGAGACGCCCCTGTGTGGCCACAGGGAAGGCTCCCCACCCCCTAGCTGACAGACCCTGCCCCCATGAATCATACTCAAACTTGATCGTCATGACAGAGCAGAAACGGAGGCTCAGAGAGGGGGAGCCTCTAGCAAAGTCAGGACTAGAACCCAGGCTTCCTCCCCAGCCTCTGGCAAGTTCCTGATCGGGAATGAGGCTCGAGGTGCCCGGGGACTCACTGTAGGTTGCTGCCACCGTGCTGCTGTGGAGGCTCCGGCCACTGGGGTGCCCTGGAAGGAGGGGGATGACGCTGTCAGCGGCGGCCTCACATCGGGAGGCTGGGCCCCCCTGCGCCCCAAGAAAGGCTCCCCTGGTCCTACCTGCACGTGCGGCCTGGGCCACGGCCCGAAGCAGCGTAGCTGTAGTCAGGCAGTGCATCTGCGGGCGTGAAAACGGAGGGAGACACGGGTGGGTCCCAGACCTGTCCCCGCGGGAAGTCTGGCGCTGCGGGAGCCCTGACCCCAACGTGTCACCTGGTCTCCTATTCCCCCCATTCCTGTCAGAGGCACACAAGGCCTCCCTGTTCCCAGGTGTGGCACCTCTCAGCCCTCCAAACCTGACTCCGCTCAGCGAGGCCAAGATTTAGGGAGTATCCGTGGGCCCAAGTTCCATCTAGCTCACCTTCTAAGAAGTCTTTAAAATCCATCCCTCCTCTCTTCCCCGATCGGTGCTCCTGCCTCCCACCTCTCCCCTCCCCTGTTCATCCTCCCCAAAGCTGACCCAAATAAGCTGGCCAGCAGCCACCAGCACCGACAGCCCACTGTGTCAGGCACTGGGCTAGGGGGTCACACACACTGTCATATGGTCCTTACAAAGATCCCTCGTGAGAGACACAGAGAAGCTGAGGCTCAGCCATGTTAAGTGACTTGTCCGAAGTCACACAATGGGGGTTGAGGGGTGGAGAGAGTGGGACCAGTATGGAACTCCTGCACACCCACAGTCCACCCCCGTTGGAAACCCTTTTAAAGGCTTAAATAACCCTCGGGACCAAATTCTTTTCCCCAGCATCGAGGTCCTTCTGGACCGGTCTCCTAGCCTGCCAAGTGACCTTGGGCGGGGGAGGTCATCTGACATGTTTTCTCATCTGTGGAAGGGGGGCCACGAGAACGAAGGGAGGTGTACATGCCCAGAGCTTGGCATCTGGCCGAAGCTCGAAAGTGCCCTTCCCGTGATCTGTGACTTGTCTCGGGCCCATCTCTTAGGACCGCTGACTCCAGCGCCAGGCACCTAGCCCAACATCTGCCCGACCTTCGCCGTGACCTCTGACCCCACAGACGCGGGCGGGGCATGCGCCTTGATGGTGCCGGGTCACGGGTCCGCTAGCGGCGCGCTGAAGGGCACCCGGGCCGCGCGTCGTGAGCCGACCGAGATGAAGCCTGGCGCAGAGTCAACGGGGCCGACGAGAGCACCGCACTCACCCCCCGACGCCGCGCCGCCGAGGTCCGGCTTCTAACAGCTGACCCCTGAGCACCCACCTTGAAGCGCTGCCTCTCCTTCCCTTGCTGAGCGGCCTGTCCGCCGAGAGGCGGAGCCTACACTCTGAGACGCTGCCATTGGGCCGGCTGGTTTCACCTTTTCCGCGCTCATCTTTTACGGCGTACTCTGATTGGCCAATAGTGCCCCTGAAAGAGGCGGGATCCAGCAGCATCTTTCCTCTGATTGGCTAGGGGAGAGCAGGCTCTTGAAGTTGCGTAGGGCGCCTCCATGTTGGGTTGGAGAGGCCAATAAGCGAGGAGCCCCCACCACCGCAGGCGGGACATCCGGGGCGTGGCTTAGGAAGTGGCTCCGGGTCGGACCGGACGTCCCGTGCTGGAGGCCGGCAGCTCACCGCTGCGGGTTGTGTGTGATAACGGTGCTGAGAATTGCGGCCGGCAGTGATTCCGCGGGAGCCGTGCCTGCTCGGCGCTAAACCTTTACCCAGGAGCTCTGTATGGAGGATTATTCTCGCCTTACAGCTGGGGAAATGAGGCACGGGCTGCAAAGTGCGGCCGCCTGAATCCCACCTGGATCTGTGTGACTCGGGATCCTTGTCCCTCAACAGCCACCAAACCTGTTTCCTCCCAGTGGATTGATTGTGTGGCAGAGGGCCCCCGGAGGTTGCGGGCACCGAGAAGGCCCTTGGGACCGCCTCTGTGTTTTGGGGAGAATGGGAGGTGGTCATGGAAGGCTTCTTGAATGATGTGATGTCCAGGCTGTCCGCGAGGAGGAACAGGGCAGTCCAAGGGCAGAGCAGGCGTGCCCACGTGCGCGCAGAAGTCCTCTTGAAAAGGAGCACGCCGGGTGTGGGGGCACAGGGCCATGGCGGAGCCCCCCAAGGACTCGTGTGGGTCCTGACTCGGCGGGCCACTGAAGGGACTCAGGCTGGGGGGTGGAACGGTCCAGCTTGGGAAGCTCCTCGGGTGCCCTGAGGTCGGGCCCACGGGGAAAGGGGAGGTGATAGATGGCCCCGGGCCTGGTGTTCCGTGTGTGCATTGGCAGGTTCTACAGCATGATACGACCCTCAGGACTTTTCTCAAAGATGGGACTTGGCAGGTGAGCAGGGAGTGTTGAGCAGGGATCCCCCAGGGTTTAGTTTGGTGGGTGAGCGGATGAGGGACCCGTTTCATGGCGTCAGGGCCCCGGAGGGTGAGCAGGGCAGGGAAGAGGGTGAGTCCGATGTGGGATGTGGCGAGGGGAAGACACCCAGTCCCCGGGGATGAGACTGCTCAGAACTCCCAAGGGGCCTGAGGGGAGACAGACTGACCCCACGCAAAGGAGGAGACAGGATGCCGGGAGCTTGGGGTCAACAATTCATTTATTAAACTGCAAAATCGAATCCTCATGACGATCTCCAAAGGTGCCAAGACATCACCTCCACTGTGCAGATAGAAAAACAAACTCAGGGAGGGAGGGCAAAGATTTTTTTGCCCAGGGCCTGGGCCACTGCAGGTCTGCGGTGTGGCCTGGACCAGACTCCAGGGCCCCTTCTGCACCCTTCACAGGAAGGGGGTGACTCAGAGGCATCCCTGTCTGCCTGCCTCTCCCAGGACACAGGTGGCTACATCGGAGGTGGGAGAGGGCAGGTTACTGCCTTGTTTCCCATGCTCCCTCACCGTGGCCCGTCCTAGCCGGGGGGCAGCCAAGGGAGGAGGCTGAGGGCTGGAGGAGAAGGCCCTGGGAGGGAGGAGGGCAAGGCCGGTCCGGGCTGTGGTCTTTTCCTCCTTGTGTGTGAAGCCCAGGCCACATCTCCAGGAGCTGCAGGTGGCAGGGGCAGTGGACTCAGATGAGAGTTGGAGGGACACCCTGGTGCCTGAGGCGGGCTCAGAGCAAGGTACAGCTGCAGCCACGGGCCTCCATGGCCATCAGCAGCACCCTCAGCTTGCGAGGTGAGTAGGGCGGGTAGCGGATGGAGTAGATCTTCTCCATCCCGGGGCAGCGCAGCAGGCAGGCGCGGTGGTGGGAGAAGGTGTCAAAGGAGAACTTGCCATGGTAGCTGCCCATCCCACTGGCACCTGTACAGGGGCATGGGAGACAGCAGTCAGCCCCTCGGTGGCCAGCCGAGGGGTGTCAGACAGACCTGGGCTCTGCCAGTCACGCACAGTATGACCTCGCCTCCGAGCCTCAGTTTCCCCATGTGTAAAATGGGCTTAGCCCCGAGCCTACAGCCGCTCACCAGAGGCTGTGGCAAGATAGGTAGACAGTGGTCAAAGGTGTGGATTCTGGAATGACTGCCCAGAGTCGATCCCTGCTCTGAATCAGTTCACCTTGGGCAACTGACTTTGCCTCGGTCTGCTTGCATGTGACATCGGGTGACCATGGCACCCACTTCCTAGAGATGTGGGGGTCGGGCGGGTGTTCAGGCCCGTGGACGAAGTAAGTCCTGGGGTGTGTTAGGAGTCTGAAGTATCCAGGTGGGGAGGCAGTCAAGGACCGGGCTTCGGCACCGCAAGTCCAGGAGACCCAGGATGGGTGGGGTGGGGGCAGTGAGGGAGGGCTTCCTGGCGGGAGTGAGGTCTGAGGGACGTACAGTTGACCAGATGAAGAGGCAGGGCTCAGTGTGGGCAAGAGGGGCCCAGGCTTGGGGACAACCCAGCCTTGGAGGTGGGTGGCCTGGGCAGGGCTCAGTGTGGCTGGGGCAGCAGGGAGAGGAGGTGGGAGCAGGACCCCGTTGCCAAGCCGGGAAGAGTTGGGCCTCCGGAAGCTGTGAGTCAGGGCCTTGCTCAATCCTGGGGGGAGTAGCAGGATCAGATTCGCCCCCAGACAGACCGCCCCACTAATCCTGGGGAGGAGGGGCTGGGACTGGAGACGGGCGGGCTAGGTCGGGGCTCCAGGGTCAGTGTCTGGCCCTCCCAGTCCACTGAGGAGGAGGTGGGCTCAGAGAGGGGACGTGGTTGCCCCAGGTCACACGGCCAGTGGGCTCGCTGGGACCAGCCCTAAGGTTTCCTGCCTCGGAGGCCAGAACTTTGCAGTGGGAATGGGGGCTGCCGGGGCCGGGGATCCCCGCTCACCTGGCTTCCCCCGGGCAGGGAACAGCCCCTATCTCCTGGGGGAGGGGGTGACATACCAAGTGCTGGACTGAGGGGACACAGGAAGGGTTAAAGGGGCAGTTGATAGCCTCACCGTGGAATGAAGGGGACACACGAGGTTGCCCCGCGTGAGCTGGTAGGCAGATTCGGAGCCGTGCTGTTCGTGAGAAGGGCAGGGCCAGCGATCACAGTGGGGCTGAGAACCCTGAATTGTGTCTCCATGGGCCCACCCACACGGGTGCATGCAGGGACAAGTCTGGAAGGTTTCTTCAGGATGGAGATGTCGGGATGCCCCTCAGTCTGGCAACAGCTAGGGAAGGCGGGGCCGTGCCGGCTACCTACCGACTCCTCCAAAAGGCAGGCTGTCGAGGGTCAAGTGCATGAAGCCATCATTCCCGCAGAAGCTCCCACTGCTGGTCTGGGCCAGCACTCGCTTGACCACCTGCAAGGGAAGCAGCGATGAGACCCCGTGGCTGGGCAGCAAGAGGCCACCAGGAAGAGTCTGGCCACCGTGTAAGCCGCAGGGGGGTGTGGTCGCGTGGCACCCGACACTGAGCCCCCAACTCGGGATGTGTTTCCTGAGCATCTGCTCCGTGTGGCCCCTGCTGGGGATCCAGGCTTAGAGCCGAGAGGGAGGCGGGAAGCCCAGCGGTCGTCTGGGGACACGGAGAGTTCAGGGTGAAACGCCAGGTCGTCAGGGAGGCGTCCCAGAGGAGGGGTGAGCTGCACCTGCGGCATCTCAGGGGGAAAGGGGGCCCCCCAGGCAGAGGGAGGGACAGGTGCAGAGACCCAGGGACTGGCCCATGCGGTGTGCAGCACAGGGAGGACACTGACCCAGGGCAACACAGCCAGATTGGTATTTTAAAAACATTAACTTGGCCCTTGCGTGACTTCAGGAAGATCTTTTCTCTCTCTCTCTTTTTTTTTTTTTTTAATTTTTTTTTCAACGTTTTTTTTAAATTTATTTTTGGGACAGAGAGAGACAGAACATGAACAGGGGAGGGGCAGAGAGAGAGGGAGACACAGAATCGGAAACAGGCTCCAGGCTCTGAGCCATCAGCCCAGAGCCCGACGCGGGGCTCGAACTCACAGACCGCGAGATTGTGACCTGGCTGAAGTCGGACGCTTAACCGACTGCGCCACCCAGGCGCCCCAGATCTTTTCTCTTTAACCTATAGGTGTATTTGAAGAACGAGAGGGAAAGAAGATTGGTAAACGCTAAATAGTCATTGCCGAAAACTTGGCTGTATTTAGTTTCAACACGTGATCCTGAGCTAATGGCTTGTCTGGACGGTGGGTAGAGTGAACCCCCCCACCAGGGGCTCAGGAATCACGTGGAGGCCAGCAGCAATCGCGACAGAAGATGGGACAGGAGTGTCACAGTGCTTCTCGGGGAGTAGGGGCCAGTCACGGGGGCAGCCAAGCCTCATAGGTGTGATTCTCTGTCTCCCAGGCAGTGCTGGGCCTTCAGAAGAGCTTGAAAGTCACTCTGCCAGACAACCCCCTTCCAGAAAACCCGGATTGCATTTTCTAAAGTTCAGTCTTTTAATTTTATGTTTTACCTTATTTTATTTATTGAGAGTGAGCACGTGCGAGTGAGCCAGGGGCAGAGAGAGAGAATCCCACGAGGTGCAGAGGGAGTTTGGAGCCCAGAGCGGGGCTTGAGCTCACCCGATGCGGGGCTCGAACTCACGAACCGTGAGATTACGACCTGAGCCGAAGTTGGATGCTTAACTGACTGAGCCACCCAGGCACCCCACTAAAGTTAATCCCATCCAGGTAAAGCAAGGCTCCTTCGAGGAATGGCTGGCTCTAGGGCTGGGCAAGGGAAATACAGGATGAGCCAGAGCACCTGGTAGACCCTGAAAGGAAGGAAATGGTCCGAAGACAGAAGGGTGACTCGATGGATGGAGGGCTGGATGTCTGAGGGACCTAGCAGCTCCCACTGCCCAGAGCAGGACAGCTTGAGCAAGGAAACGAGCCAGGTGTTGCCTTGTCACCCAGAGGATAAAGCAGATACGAGCAAGTCCACGCTGATACAAAGAAGTGATTCCAGAGCGAAAACTTCCTGGCAGATTCCAGGTGATCTGTGCACAGATTCCCCTCCAGCAGGTGGAGCTGAATCACCCCCCTCCCGTGGAAGGGGGGCTAGTGACCGTTCCCAAAGAGGAAGTTCTCTTGGTGGAGACCCCTGGCGGACAAGACCTCGGCCAAGTGGTGAAGGTTAACCTCACCCGCGACGTGTGGATCCCGCGGATCCCTGATAGGACGTCAGAGGCCAGCCCTTGCTTCCGTGGTAATTCTCTCATGGGCAATACCACAGACCGCTGAAAGTGGGGACGGTGTTGCCGGAGACCTTGACAGGAGCTCTCGAGCTGAGAGATGGTCACAGGCCAGAGGAGCCATGACAGCTGAATGCAACGTGGGACCCTAGCTTGGATCTTGAGGCTGGAAAGAAAGCTGGCAAAATCCGTATCAAATACGAAGTGGAGTTAACGGTAACGCACCAGCCTCAGCTACTTAATTTGGACCAACACACGGGCCCTTAAAGAAGGACAACTGGTTGTGGGATGTAGTGGGACTCCCTGGACTGGCTCTTATCTTCTGTAGATCTAAAATTACTCCAAAATAAAAAGTTTATTGAAAAAAAAATCCTGTCCAGCCTACGAGGGATCTCGTGGGAGCTGGGCGAGAGGGGAAGGTGGGCCCCGAACTGAGGATGCCCACCCAGTGCCCTGGAGGCTCCCAGGCTGCCCACAGCGGGTGAGCCGGTCAGGGGGCGGGGGCTCATTGTCCTGCCTGCGTTGTCTGGTCCGTCACCCTCCACTGTCATTCCACCCCATGCCACGTGTGCCTTCGATGAGCCAGGTGCTGGAAGGGGACCCTTGTCCACCAGCCCAGATAATGAGGAAGACCGAGGTGGGGACTGATAGAGCAGGGACACTGAACCCCGGGGGGAGGTTCTGGGGGCTGTTCTCTAAAGGCCCAGGAGACGGTGGCTTAGATGGGAAGGAGAAGAGGTCTGACTGTCCCAGAGAAACAGGACCCCTCACCCTGCAGTCCCTTTGGTCCACTCCAGTCCTAGAGCCACCTCCCCTCTGCTGCAACCACCCCACCATCCACTGCTGGCCTCTGTCTCTACCTCTGTCCGACCCCTACCCAGCCCCACCCGAGGCCCCACCTGTTTGTTGTTGGAGAAGGCGTACAGGGCCAGGGGCTTCTCCCGACGGTTGATGAAGTCGATGGCCTCGTCCAGGCTCCTCACGTTCACGATGGGCAGGATGGGTCCGAAGATCTCCTCCTGCATCACGGGTTCCGTCTCCTCCACGTCCACCAGCACCGTGGGGGCTGCGGGCACAGGGGGCGGCTCAGCCCTGGGGAGGGGGGCCTCGGGCAGGGCTCAGGGACCTTCTGGGGAAGACGGTGTCCCCACGGCCCCCAGGAAGGACCGTGAGGGGTTCTCCAGCCTGGCCGGGGCTGAGGCGGAGCGCCTGTGTCTCCCAACGGTCTTCCCAGAGCCGGGGTCCAGGCTGGGCGCAGCCAGTGCAGCCGTGGGAGACTCGCAGCCCAGACTCGCGGCCCAGGTGGGAGCCTCCTGGCCCAGACTCGCGGCCCAGACTCACGGCCCAGGTGGGAGCCTCCTGGCCCAGACTCGCGGCCCAGACTCGCGGCCCAGGTGGGAGCCTCGCGGCCCAGACTCGCGGCCCAGACTCGCGGCCCAGGTGGGAGCCTCCTGGCCCAGACTCGCGGCCCAGACTCACGGCCCAGGTGGGAGCCTCCTGGCCCAGACTCGCGGCCCAGACTCGTGGCCCAGGTGGGAGCCTCCTGGCCCAGACTCACGGCCCAGGCAGGACCCGCCTCATGGACGGGCCTTCCCACGGGGGTCATGGCAGGATGGCAGGCTCACCGATGTAGCGCTCGCTCTCGTCGCTCTGGCCGCCAATGGCCACGCGGCCACAGCCCAGCAGGCCTCGGAGCCGCTGGAAGTGCTTGTCGCTGATGATGCGGCCCAGGTTCGGGGAGCTCCGGGGGTCCTCGCCGTAGAAGCGGGTGATGGCGTTCTGCAGGGCGGGCAGCAGCCGCTCCTGCGTGTCAGGGCTGCACAGGACGTAGTCGGGGGCCACGCAGGTCTGGCCGGTGTTGAAGTAGCGGAACCAGGCCAGGCGGTTGGCCACGGTCTGGGGGTCACAGTCGTCGTCCACGTAGCAGGGGTTCTTGCCCCCCAGCTCCAGCGTGACGGGCGTCAGGTGCTTGGCGGCCGCAGACATGACGATCCTGCCCACCCGAGGGCTCCCTGGTGGTGGAAAGAAACCAGAGTGGCCCTCAGTCACCTCAGCCAGGCGGGACGGCCTCAGCCTGGGGATCAGGACCCCTCGAGGAGGGCCCACTCCCCGGAGAGCTGCACCAGGACCCTGCTCACGTCCTCCGCCAGACCAGCCCGAACAACGCAGGGTCTCCGTGGAGTCTGTGCAGGGCTCTGCACGGGGCAGCCAGCCAGGCCCCTGCTCCCTCTCCCGAGCTGCCTGGTCAGAAATCCAGGCGCCCCTTGCCCTGCTTCTGGTCCCAGGCTCACCCTGCCAGTGACTCTTGCTTCCACGCTGCCCTGCACCCCTCCCCACCTCTCCAGGCTCCTCCAGCACTGACTCTGACTGCTCTGGCCCGAGACCAGACTCCAGCTCCAGGGGCCGGCACCTGGGTCTCCCTCTCCGACCAACATGGCCGTCCTGCCCCCCTCACCACCCACCCTTCCCTCTGCTCCTGACTCTTGGCTGAAGTGGCCACCTGCTTGTCCCCACCTCTCTCCTCTGGCTTGATCTGCAGGGCCTCACAGTCCCCTCCACCCACCTTCCCCCGCCCCCATTCCTCCTTCAGGTCCTCCTGTCTTTCAAAACCATCTCCTTGTCTGGGAGGCCTTCCTGTGAGGTCCTCCCTGTCTGTTGAACCCCGACGAGCTTCCTGTCACGGGCCCTTCCAAGAGATGCTGTTCCTCTCTCTGTCCCCTGTGCCCTCGCTATGACGTGACAGAGTCTGGACAGGGCACGCTCTCTCAAAATGCAGTGAGTAAGTGAACAACACATTCCCCAGGCCATGTGCCGTGACAAAGGCTCCCATGAGTTCATGTGTCCTGGAGACAGACCTGTGACCATCGTCAGATAAGGAAAGGCCCGGAGAAGCCGGGAGGTTGTGGCAGAGTATGTCCGGGTCAGTCTGCCGGCCCCTGCACAAGCTGCCCAGGTTCCTGGCCGCAGTCACGGGGGCCCAAGGCCCAAAACCCGCCGAGCCGCGGCTGGGATGCTGGAAGGAGGACCGCCTCCTCCCGGCTGTCTTCTCGCCCTCACTAGGAATCTGTAGGACCAGCTGAGGACCCTGCCCTCTGCTTGCCCCCTGACCGCCAAGGCAGGGGGCCTCTGGGCCCTGTCCTGGGCTTGTGGTAGGGTCTGGGGGGGGGGGCAGAAAGGCAGAGACAACGCTCTCCCTGCTCTGATGTGGACAAAGGGTGCAAGGCAGGAGGCCAGTGAGCAAGATTCCCTCTCTTCCAGAACCTTGGCCAGCTAAGACTGCCACCTACCTGCCTTCTCAGCTCTTTCACTCAGAGAAACTCCCTCCTGGCCACTTGAAGCCAGGTGGTTCCTGGGCCTCGTGGACACATGCCAGGGAGATGACAAGTGACCTCTGAGAACAATTCGGAGGGCCTGGAAGGAAAATCCAGCCTTCCCCGATCCTGGCCCCAGGGGGTGACCCAGGCTGGGGGCCTCATTTCTTTGTCACCTTGGCCTCTAATCCTTCACCTGTCCAGCCCTCCACAAGACCTCTGGGTTGGTGGGGTCACACGTACAAGGTCCTGAGGCCAGTGGGTGGTACAGAAGGTCGTGGGGGCACAATGAGAGCTCAGCAGGGACAGATGCTGTCCTCTGTGACATCGTGACCAGTGAAGGGGCCTGCGCCAGGGGATAGGACCCAGCCCTCAGACGGTCCCGGGGGGTCAGCCTCACCCGTGAAGAAGATGTAGTCGAACTTGTGCTCCAGCAACTGCCCCGTCTCCTGGGGCCCGCCCAGCACCACGGCGAAGCAGCTCTGTAGGACGGGATGGCAGAGGGATCCCTCTGGGACCCCAGCCCGGAGAACCCAGAGGCTGGCCTGCCTGCGTGGGGCCGCCCCCCTTTGCCTGGCCTGACCCCCCAGTTGCCAGGGCTCTAGGTGGACCAGGTGGGACGAAGGTGGGAGCAGGGAGCTGCCCGGGGACACTGGGCACCTGCCAGTCGCAGCCCCACAGGCGCGTGGTTAAGAGCCTGGCTGGGGTTTGGGGGAGCGGAGGCTGGGGCGTGGCAAGCAGGGGTGACCAGATGACAGATGGGAGTCCCCAGGGGACAGGCCCCTCAGAGCACAGCTGTGCTCCCCACCCCTCTGCTTCACCCAGAGGGAAAGAGGCTGAGGGGTGGTGACCCGGCCATGGCCACACGACCCAGGGGAGGCAGGATTGAGGGTGGAACTCGGGTCCTGCCCGAGGGGGCCTGCCTGGCCCTGCTCAGCCCAAGGGTAGCTGCTCGGTCCCCTCCCTGCCCGGCTCACCTGGTCCAGGTATCGGGGCAGCACCTCAGCCAGGACCTTCTCGGTGCTCCTGCTGAGCTCCGATGGCTTCAGCACCACGCAATTCCCTGCAGACCAGGGCAGGGCAGGGGGAGCGCTGGGAGAGGGGGGGCCCCTCCCGTCCCGCCTCACTCTCCTTTCAGTTGAAGAATCTGGCTCAGAGAGGTGACCGACGGGCCCAAGGCCCCACAGCCCGGGGCATGGTGGGCCAGGTGGGAAGCAGGTTTTCTCAGCCAATTATTGCCGGCTCCCTGCTCACGGGCTCTGTGGGCCACCGTGAGGCCCGAGGGCGGGGCAGCAGCAGCGGGAAGGTGGAAACTGCTCTCACCTGCGGCAAGGGCGCCCACCAGGGGCACGAGGGTCAGGTTCACAGGGTAGTTCCAGGGGGCGATGACAAGCACCAGGCCGAAGGGCTCCTTCCGGATGAAGGCCGAGTCCAGTTGCGTGGCCTGGGCCCCCGCCAGCATGGTGGTGAGTGACGAGGCGTAGAGACCCCCCCAGCCGCTCTGTGCCGCCCTCCATCCGGCTGCCTGCCCGCCCTGACCCCCAGGCTGGCTCACCAGATTCTTGGGCACTTTCTCATCCTTCATCCAGGCCCTCAGATTCCTGAGGGCCAAGTTGATCTCACTCTGGCTGATGCTGATCTCAGACACTTCCGACTCGAAGGCTGACTGCGGGGGAGAGGCCAGGGGACCAGCGTTGGCAGGTGGCCAGAGCCCTGTGGCGGGCACAGCCTCCTCCAAGCAAGCCCTCCTCTTATTTGCTTGTTCATTCATCCACTCAGTGGTCGGTGAATGCTTACAGTGCTCAGGGGCCCCTCCTGTGCCAGGGGCGCAGCCGTGACCGAATGCACGGACAGCCTGATGACTCGGACAGAGCCGATGTTGTAGGGGAACAGCCAACATGCTAGGGAGAACACTGATGTGACAAGAGCAAGGGAAGGCGAAACACGGTAGAGGGGCCCGCCCCCCCGCCCCTCGGGGGGGGGGGGGGGGGGCGCTGTGCACGAGCGTGCGTGTGCGAGTGCATAAGCGTGTGTGCTTGGGTGCGCATGTATGTGTGTTTGCTTTGCTTTATACCAGATAGTCAGCGCTGGCCTCGGAGATGCGGGGACATTTGAGCAGCGAAGATAGGGAAGAAGGGAGCCTAAGGATACCTGGAGGCAGAATCTTCCAGGCAAAGGGCACAGCATGTGCAAAGGCCCTGAGGCGGGTGCAGGCTGGCTATGTTCCTGCTAAACAACGTTTATTTATTTTTGGGACAGAGAGAGACAGAGCATGAATGGGCGAGGGGCAGAGAGAGAGGGAGACACAGAATCGGAAACAGGCTCCAGGCTCTGAGCCATCAGCCCAGAGCCCGACGCGGGGCTCGAACTCACGGACCGCGAGATCGTGACCTGGCTGAAGTCGGACGCTTAACCGACTGCGCCACCCAGGCGCCCCTGTTCCTGCTAAACAAAGAGCAGAGTGGGTGAGGTGATGGGCCCAGGCAACGGGGGCGAGGACTGTCGAGCAGAGCAGGGACAAGATCTAATTCAACTGTCGGTGTGGCCGCGCTGTGGCCTGCTGTGTGGCTATCAGTCTGCAGGGGAACACCGGGGACAGATGTCCCTGGGTAATTGTGGATAGTTCCCACAGCCCGGGGGACAGGGCAGGAGTGAGAGAGAGGCAAAAATCAATAGGGGGATTATTATCCTGATTTCTGCCTGTGGGTATGTCTGTTCCACTCCTGCCGGGGAGAAGAGACCCGGCCGAGGGCTACAGGAGCTGGAGGCCCATGGCCTGGGATACAGAGTCAGGCTGTCCTGATGCCCGCGACTCGGCTGTTATAGTGCAAACTCTCCCCCGCTAGAATCGAGAGGGACGAGCCTGAGGCGTGCCAGGACAGTCCAGAGAGTGAACTGAAGCCTGTCCAGGGTCACTCAACGAGCCAGGGGCAAGGCCAGGGCCAGAGCTGAGCCTTGAGGAAGAAGGAGCCGGGACCTTGGGGAAAAGAACCACATACACCAGCGCTTCTAGGAGCTGAGCCTGGTTCAGGCATGCCTTCCGCTAAGCCTGTGTCCAAAGCTCACGTTCCTGCCCAGCAAGGTGGCCCTTGACCTGAGCGAGGTTTGGACCAGTTTATGAGCCGTCTGGACCCAGCTGAACTTTGGAAGAGGAGGCTGTTTTCAGCCAGGGCTGTGTGTCCTGAGGCAAGAACGTGCCCTCTCTGAGCCTCCTGTGGGGATGACTGGGGGTGACTGTCCCTACCTGGAAGGACTGTTGGGGTGAAATGAGAGACTTGGTTCAGGGAAGGCAGGGCAGATGCTGTCTGTCAGAAGGGTCAGGGACAGGATTGATTTTCTGTGCTCCTGGAGCCTTGAGGAGTTGGAATGAGAGGCAACAGGTAAAATCTGAGCCCAAGGGAGAAAAGGGACCAGACAGACAGGTCAGGTCTCACAGAGGCGGCCAGGCCAGGCCAGGCCAGCAGGCGGGCGGTGGCTGAGGCTCACTGGGGGTGGGAGATGTGAGCCCCTCCATCCTGGACCAGGCCCAGGGAGTGGGACACTTCCCACAGAAGGCAAAGCTGGGCCCCTCAGGCAAGGGCACACCAAGGGGGGTGTGGTCTGGCACGCTGGTTTCACAGAGAGACGGATGATTCCAGAAATGGCCGACGAGGAAGCCTGGGCCTCACCTGGCTACAGTCCCAGAGCATCCTGGTTAATGGCAGGTTGGGGACACTGAGAAAGGGAACAGGCATCGCCAGGCCACACCCTCAGCATGAGTCCTTGTGGCCACACTTTGCTGTCCCCAAAGGACGGGGGTGCCCTGATCCATGACCCCGGGTGCCGCGAGGCACTATTCTCCATGTCTCTGCTCAAATGCCATCTTCTTGGGGGAACTGTCCCTGACCTCCTGACCTCCACATATAAGACAGCACCCTGATCCTGGTCCTCTCCCGCCCCCTTCACCCGGGGAGGGTCTCTCCATCCAACAGGCTATATACAATTATTTATTTATTGTTCTGTGCCTCCCTCTAGAAGGCCAGCTCCCTGGGCACAGGGACTTTGTTTTTTACCCTGTTGTACCCCCAGAGCCTAGAACGGTGTACCTGGCACTTAGTAGGTCCTCAGTAAATAGTTGTGGAGTGGGTGAAGAAATGAGTGGATGGCCCTGCAGAAGAGGCCCTCCAGGCACAGGGAAGGGGGTGGGGTTTGATGGGCTTTTAGTTTCCCTTCCTGGGGGCCTAGAGGATGCACTGTCCCCTCCCATTTATCCTGGCCTCCCCAGCCCTGCCCCCCAGCCCCGCCCCCCTTCCCATCCTTGCCCCCCCAGCCCCGCCCCCTTCCCATCCTTGCCCCCCATCCCTGCTCCCCCAGTCCTGCCCCCTCACCCCTGCCCCGCCCCCCCTCACCTTGTGCAGGTCCTGCGCCAACGCCTCCTGCAAAAGCTGCTTGTGTTCCTGCAGGAAGCGGCCCAGGCCCCTGAGCTGCGCCGCCCGGAACTCGGCCGGCCGCGTCCGCCCTGCGCTGAAGGCCTCCCGCAGCCGCCTCAGCGTGTCCGCGAAGGGGTCCATCCTGCAGGGAGGGGGCGGCGTGGGCCGGGGCTCCCCCACCCTCACGGCCAGTCCCCCCGCCCCCGGCCCTGGCCGCAGCCACGAAGGCTCAGGACACTCCCGCAGGGACACACGTGTAGCCCCAGAGGGCCCGGGCTGCCCCCGCGAGCACACGCCCACCGCGCGGGGCACACTCACACGTACACGCTTACAGTCACGCACCCCAACAGGCTCACAGTCCCCTCCCTTTGGCCAGGGGGGCAGGAGAGCCCCGGACCTTGAGGTGCAGGACGGGGCGTGGGCTGGGGAACAGCCACCCCACTGCCGCTAAGGGTAGGCAGGCAGCCAGGGGACCCCGCTTTCTCCTGCCCCCAGGCCGCGCCCCCGTCCCACCCTGGTGCCCCTCGGGGAGATGGGGCAGCCCTCGTCCCTGCCAGGCCTGCACGGAGTAACCAGGAGGAGTTTGGTAAGTAGAGGGACGGTCCACCAACAGCCACCGTGGCGATCACTGTGGGACCGTCCAGACACAGAATACACTGTCCCCTCCGGCTCCTAGCCTGGGGAGGCCAGGCTGGGTGGTGGCGGCTCAGGGGGCTGAGTGACCTGGGCAGTGGCCACTTCTGTGCCCCGTCCCCGGTGCCAGGGACGAAAGAGCAGAGAACAGTGGGGCGCAAGGGCTGAGAGGCAGTGATGCTGCCCTGAGTGACAGCCACAGTCCCCCGGGCCCCCGCCTGTTTACTCGAAGCTCATCGGAGGAACACGGTGACGCACTCACTTCTTGCCCTGGTGCCAAGGACCCGTGGGGACCCTTTCTGCCTGCCCGCTCTGACTCGCTTCCCTTCAGGTCTCAGCTTGGCTAATGCCTCCTCTAGGCAGCCTGCCCTGATTATTCCTTCACACAAGGAGTGGGTTTCACCCTCTCTGCCCCCCGGCCCCTCTCTGCCTGCCTCCCTGAGTTCGGTCCCAGTGCCCCAGTCTCCTCATCTGTTAGGGGGTCATGGGAGCGCCTGCCAGCTGACACGGTGCTTCTCAAGGATGAGACCGTGCTGTCCAGTTCTGAGCCCAGGGCTAGACATCCGTGCACCCAAGGCTGCCAGCTACGGTTAAGGGGCTACCCCACGGCCCTCGGTTTTCTGGAATGCTCCATAGTCCTGAGAGCCGAGCCTGCTCCAGCCAATTGGATGGCCCAGCCCATAGGGCGTTCTGTGCTGAGAGCCTGGCTGGAGCCCTAGGCATGATGGGGGCCAGACTGACCCCATAGGCCTCCTGCTGTGATTGAGATTAACTGAGCAGTTGCCTGGGGCACAAGGCAGGCCCCATGGCCCCCAGAGAGGGTGACAGTGTAGCAGAAAGGGGACATTCTCAGAGCCCCTCTCGGTCTTGGCCTTGACCCCCAGACCCCGCCCTCCATCTTGGCCCGTGCCAAGACCCAGGAGCCGAGAGCCCTGCCTGCCATCCGGGCTTGTCCCCTGGCCGAGACTCATACTGGCCTTGTGACCCCGGGCAGCTAACTCATCTCTCTGCCTCAATTTCCTTGTCTGTAAAGTGGGGACGATAATGGCACTTGCCACCGTCCTGATGGCTAAATGGCATAAAGCCATGTAGAGCATTGGCCACTAGCCACGTGCTGCACGCTCAAGAAAGGCCAGCGGTGGTTATGGTTACTAAGTACCTATCAAACATTTCTTTCTCTCCACCCTCCGCCACTCCCTTCTCTGTCTCGCTCACACCTTCGGACCCCCGCTGACGGATGTCGAGGGCAAAGCACAGCACCCCCCCCATGCCTTTTCATAACAGCGTGTGAAGAACCCACAAAAATGTAAGGCAGGTAACTATAATGGCACAGGTCTGGGCAAGTGAGGGGCAGGGAGCTCCGTGGGGGTGCAGCTCTGGATGGAACATTCCAGCAGCCTCCCTTGGCAACACTGAGGTCAACTCACCTGATAGCATCCCCGGCAGGTTGGTCACTCTGGACTGAGGGACCGAGGGGTGCCTGTTGGGGGATGGGAAGCTGGGCACAACCCAGGCGTGCAAAGGAGCCCAGGCCACCTTCTGCCTGGGATCTGCGGGCCCCTGGGCCTGTGACCTCACAAACGACACCCAGATGAGGGGGTTCGTGTATCGGGCTGGGCTGGAGTCCTTGAGCCCATCCCCGTCCCCCGCCCCTCACCCCCGGGGTACATCTGACGCTGTGGAGGCTCCTAAGGATGCTGAATCACATTTCCTGTGCCTGTGTGACTCATCGGACCACCGTGACAGCCTGCTGAGGGCATTGTCCTCTCCCGCAACGAGAGGGATACCTGGGCCCAGAGACGGCAAGGAGGTGGCCCGAGACCGCTTAGCTTCTTTACATTGAAAACTGGAATCCAGGGGCGCCTGGGTGGCTCAGTCGGTTAAGCGGCTGACTTCGGCTCAGGTCATGATCTCACGGTCCGTGAGTTTGAGCCCCACGTCGGGCTCTGTGCTGACCGCTCAGAGCCTGGAGCCTGTTTCAGATTCTGGGTCTCCCTCTCTCTCTGCCCCTCCCCTGTTCATGCTCTGTCTCAAAAATAAATAAACGTTAAAAAAAAAAAAAAAAAGAAAGAAAACTGGAATCCAGAGGAATCCAGAGGAATCCAGAGGAACACAGGGCTGCCACCATCCACCCTTCATCCCCTGCGTGGCCGGGTGGGGAGCAGGGTAGCCCGACCCCTGGGGAGACGGGACACCTCGGGGGGCTGGCCTGAACTACAGATGCAGGGCCCGGCAGGCGGGCTGTGTGGCTGGGCTCGGGAGGGGCCTTCGGGGGGGAGCAGGTGTGCTGTTCCTGACCTGATGCTTCTGGGTGAGGGCGGCAGGGGGTGGGGTGATGGGAGTGGCTACATCAGTTGATGATGACACCAATAAGTGGATGGCCTGGAGGCCGGGGGAGGACAAGCCGCGACCCCTCAAGGCCGTGGGCCCGGGGCTCCCCTAACCATCGTGATAAGCAGGCCCTGACTGCAGCGTGCCAGCCTGGGTGCCCGGGGTGGTGCAGTGTGGGTGTTAGCATGGTGACCCTGAAGGCAGCTGAGGCCCAGAGAGGTCGCGTGGAGTTAAGGAGGGGTGGATAAGGTGGGCACTCAGGTCTGCTGGCTCCAGAGCATCACTGGGAATCTACTGCCCTGCCCCCACCCGCTGCATCCTGGCCAGTCCTGCTGACGAACAATCCTCGGTGCAGACCCTACTCTCCTCACACCCCGGCTTCTGCCCGCTCTGTCAATCTTTCTGCCTCAGTTTCCTCGGCGGTCCCAGAGGCCTCCTAAGGGCATCCTTTTGGTATAACGTGTCAGGGCCCGATGACCCGGGGTCGGGATCCTGGCAGTCCTGTCTGTTGGCTAGGAGTCCTCGGGCGGGTGGCTCGGCTTTTCTGTGGCTCACCTTCCCCATCTGTGAAATGGGGATGGTTCCTGTAGCTGCCCCGTGGTTGGGAGAATTCGGGCGCGCAGTGTTCTGTGCAGGGCCGAGCCCCGTGAGTGCTCGGTGACTATGGCTCTGCAGGATGGTTATTCAGACGGACTGTGAAGGACACCTGTGCCGGCTTCAGGGCGGAGACCCCGGGGGAGGAGCCCGAGGAGACCTTGGCCCAGTGTGGGCACCAGGGAGGCAAGAGCCACGTAGGGGCAGGGATATGGAACTGGCCACAGAGACAGAGATAAACGTGGTGGTCTGAGGGCCTGGGGGACCCCGATCAGGCTGCCGGAGGCAGACGTCACAGGGCCGGCCTTGGTGATCCCATAGGTCCTAATAGCCCAGATCTCCCCTTGTAGCCTGAGCTGGATTTTCATAGGCTGTCCAGAAGCTCTGGCAGAGTCCCCTCCCTATAATGGGGACCAAAGGAACTGGGGACCAACCCTTGGCCTGTGGGCTGAGCCAACCCCAGCCCCACCCTACAGAGAGGTCGGGCTACCCGTTCCCCTGATGCCAGCAATGTCCCTCTGAGAATCAGTCCCTCCTCGAGGCCGGGTGGGTCTGGCTGGTCCCACCTTCCTGGACTCTGGCAGAGCCCGTTCCCAAGGATGAGACGTCCCAGAACCACTGGGTACCCCTGCCCCAGCACCGGGCACGCACAGCAGTGCCCAGGAAATACGTGTTGCCAGGTGGATGCTTGACGCCCCACCCCTTCCCCAATCCCCTCCCCCCCCCCCCCGCCCAAGGATGGGATTCCCTTCCGGGGCAGCCAGGACCGGAGCTGGGGCCCTCGGACCCATAAAAGATGCGCAGTAACACCAGCGAGAGGAAGACGGTGGTCCAGCTCCCACAAAAGGAGGGTGCCCGCTGACCACCAGCCTCAGGAACCCCAGAGCCTCTCCTCGGCCCCTCCCTCTCCCACTCTCATTCTTAGATCGGGACAGAGGGAAGTTCCTCCCTCCTTCCCCTTTCTCCCCAGGCAGTCAGGAAGACAAAGCCAGACTGTGTCATGTGGCCGTGAGTGGCCAGGCCTGCCCAGGCAGCCGGCAACCTGGAGTCCCCGAGCAAGCCCACCAGCCGGGGCCCTGGCCCTGACTGCCGGCTGCTCCAACCCCACCTCCCTGGGACATCGTACCTGAGGCCCTGCCAAGCTGCCCTTCCTCCTGGCCGTCCCTGCTCTGCCTTGCTGCCCTGTCGTTTATGAGTCACGAGCCCTTATGAAATGTCCGAGGCTGGGCCAGCCCGTGGGGCGGGGCCGCCCTGGCCTCCTGCCTGACCTTGGCTCTGGGCCAGCTGG